AAGCGACCAAGCAGCATGGGTTCAATATAGGACGTTCCAGAAACTCAAGACCCTCAAGAATCCTTCAACCCGTTGTTTAAACCCATGCTTGGAAGAAGGACCAAGGCTCACCAAGGCACTTCATGCAAATGCTGCGGACTTTTCTTCAAAGCAAACGCGAGTTCCAATCTTCTCCAAGGCGCCAAGTTGTAAAGGGCTCAGGCTGAAATGCCGCACCTCCAGTCCAGCCCGACATAGTGCCTAAAAGAACGGACCCGAAGGTGTAAGCGTGGCATGCAAATAAATCTGTCTGAAAAATGGCCCAGTTGGTGTTGTTTCTTCAGTTTTCTTCAGAATTTGCCTCAGAGATCAGCTCAAAAGAGGCCGAGTTCTCGAATCCTCAACCAAAGAACGACATGTTTTTGGCGCATAACGACATGTTTTGACACAGCTTGCTCTTTTGAGAAGGACACCAACCACGTTCTCTAGCAGGACCGCCTGCAAACATCAATGGAGAAACCCCAGTCGGCCAATCACTTCCAACCGATCGATCTCCACACCGCCTCTGGCGGTCTTTCCAACGTTGGCAGCAGCTGAGCCAAGTGTTGCAAAGGCTTGGCACGACCGTCCTCCAGGTCACGACGTAGACCCATGCGCGTGTACGGCTGACATGGCGGAGACATCAACCAAAGATCTGCTCCCTCCACCTGCACAAAGATGCACAATGTGCATCACTGGAACCGACGCAAACTGCTGCAAAAACTCCAGAAACGTGGAAAGCAGTGACCAAGTGTCCTGCACCTCTGATTTTGCAACTCTGCGAATATCCTTGGGCAGCAAGGGTCCATAGGGGACATTGAAGTTACAGCTGTACACCTGGCCAATTCGAACGTCAAAATCATTGCAAAAAACAATCTTTTGAAGTCTTTGAGGCTGCACTCCAGCTAGCTGAAGCAGTGCAACCCAAAACCGTCGTCGCCTCATTGGCCAGCGGCGATGACTCGACGTTGACCCATTCAGACATCGAGTCTCCATCGTGTCCTGATGCAAAATGGCCTCGCTATGCCAAAGATATGCATGAAAATCTCGTGAAGTGCCAAGTGTTGTTTGTGTCTGTGTTCGGCCAACTTCAAGCTGCCAGACGCGAGCTGTCCTGCCAATCCACATGCTTGCTGGAAGGCCGCTCGAAACCCTCCAATGCCGGAGAAGAACTCCAAGACTCGCAGCTCGTGCAGTGGTCTCGGTGGACATCGCTCTCGCGGATGCCAATCGCCTGGGATGTGTCGCTCGTCTCGACCCGAGCCTCGAGAGACGCTCGTCGCGGTCTCCCCGAGCTCCCGGGCGAAGGGTGGTCTCACCGACGAAGCCACCGGACCTCCGACAAAGGTGTCAATCGAATAACAAATTAGCCCAGCTGGAGCCCCAATAGCCAGATACAGACCGGCACAAAAAGCAAAATCTGGAAACAGCTGCTGTTTTCAACACGTCGACCATCTCCTCCTTGGACACCATCATCACATAACCGGGACACCCTCACAACATGACCGGGACACCGTCACATGACCCGGACACCATCAAAACAAACGGCACACCGCCAAAACATGATCAGGACACCATCACATAATGACCGGGACACCAGCACAACATGACCGGGACACCGTCTCAACATGACCGGGACACCGTCACAACATGACTGGGACACCATCACAACACCCCAGCATCACATGACCGGGACACCATCCGCCCACCAGCTCTGACGGTGACCCGAAGGCGCCCGTCCGCTTATTAGTTTTGCAAGACCCCATAGCATGGCTATTGGGGAAAAACAATGTAAATATATGTACGATGATATATGTAGGCGTCACCCCCAAGGTTACTGATGAACTGGCTACTTGTCACATACAACTCCCAACATTCAGTTTCACTGTCTTTCTTTTGCCTCTGTTCTGTGATATTCAGAAACCTGAAGCATTTATAACAACCATCCAAAGCATGCCAAACAATTTCAAAAGATCCAACAACGGCCCAATAGCACGGCAAAATGCAATTCTCAAACAGACAGACACACACACTCACAAACATCTACTGAGTGCAAGAGGAGTCCAAAGAAAGAGATTAAATTCCACCGGCAAGGGACCCCAAATAGTGTAAAGAGGAACAGATGGAACATGGCAAGTTCATTGAAATTCAAACACCCTTCAAGAACATCTGCACATCGAGATTCACGAGCACAAATGAGAGCACACATATGAGAGCATATGGGAGCACATATGAGGGCACACATCTGAGAGCACAAATTTGAGAGCACATACAAGCACAAATCTGAGAGCACATAGGCGAGTACATAGGAGCATTTCGAAGTTTTCAATGTACCGCGCCTGCCACGAAATCTGCACATCGAGGTTCACAAAGTACTGCGCCTGCCACGAACTCTGCACATCGAGGTTCACAAAGTACTGCGCCTGCCACGAAATCTGCACATCCAGCTTCACAAAGTACTGCGCCTGCCACGACATCTGCACATCGAGATTCACAAAGTGCTGCGCCTGCCACGAAATCTGCACATCGAGATTCACAAAGTACTGCGCCTGCCACGAAATCTGCACATCCAGCTTCACAATGTACTGCGCCTGCCACGACATCTGCACATCGAGATTCACAAAGTGCTGCACCTGCCACGAAATCTGCACATCGAGATTCACAAAGTGCTGCGCCTGCCACGAGCTCTGCACATCGGAGATCCAAAATGAGCAAATTGCACGAGGCTTTCGCAAATTTTAAAATGCGTTTCAGAAATGCTGTGCCTGCCACGAAATCATGCCTGCAGGTCATACGAAATGCTGCACTGGCCACGCAAAATCATCCTCAAGGTCAAAGTCCAAAAATGCGACCACGAATTCAGCCGTTTCACCTCAAAATATCGCATCCATGGTGCGGATTCCCTGCGCCTGCCACGTGAAACGCAGTCCTGCGAATGACACACGCCTGCCAACGTTTTTGCAACGTCCACAAAACACTGCGCCTGCCACGAAATTTGCAAAGTCTCCGATTCCTTGCACCTGCCACGTAAAATCACCTTTTCGAGGCTCCAATGTGTCGAATTCCTTGCGCCTGCCACGCGAAATTCACTTCAGGTCCGAAAACGAGCGCGGCACCTGCACGAGAGCTTTGTCCCGCAAGCACGAAGACCGCGGCCCCCACTTTATGCAAGCCTGCGCAGTCGAAATGGACATGAGGAATTCAAAAAGTAACTTTTGTGCGAGCCGGCCCACGCAAAATGCCGGGGCCACACGCGCGAACCCTGATCTAAAGCCGCTTAACTCTTACCGTAAGAACCCCTTAGTGCGGAGCACTATATATTTGGGGAACAAAGAAACTGCTGAAACATTGAACAGCTTATCATTATCATTCGGTCCAAGCAAACTTCCATGGTGTTAACCCACGTGGAATGTTCGTTCCCAAGATCCTCCCAAGGATGATCAGAACCCTTCCCATGAAATCCTTGTCACTGATGCAGTCAGACTAATCACACAAAATTATACTGAGGCCATATCAAGGATAGGAAACGATCTACGTTTCCCTCTAACTGACGTGCCGAGTTGCAGCCACAGCTCCGGCTGGCGGCGCAGGAAGCTAGCTAGCCGCCCATACTTCGCACGCTGCTCGGCAGTCCAGTCCACAGCAGAGCCCAAGACGGAGAGCCTTTTAGAAATGAGAGATGACGAAGACCAAAGAAAATACAGCTCGCCGTTGTATGGCAAAAACTCAACGAACAATGAATAAGCTTTTTGGACAAGTGTCTGCAGTGGCTGCCCATACCTTCGTAACGTGTCACGTACTTGCTCTACAAGCTCTCCTGGCATCAAAGTGCATACCTTGGCCTCCAACCTAACAGCAATGGCCCCAACCTACTAGCAAAAGGAACCTAATTGCGATGGCCTCCAACCTAGAAGCGATGGCCTCCAACCGACCTAGATGCGATGGCCTCCAACCTGCCCACATGTGAAATGTCACAGGCATCCCCGACTACCTGCTCCTTTGCCAGAGCTGCGAGCAGCATTGAGTCGCCTTCTTGAGGACCTCAAGTTAGTTTGGCAAAAAGGCAAAGCTTCAAGTGAGTGAAAAGAAAAGGAAAATAAATAAGAAAACAAATAAGAAAATATCCTCCTAATTCAGGGATGTATGACTCAAGTGATCTGAAGTTCGAGCTTCCACAGGATAGCCAAGGCCAGAAAAGTGCTCCGACGACCTCTCAATCGAACCCGAGCAACAAAGAAAACCAGGAGTGGTGTAGAAATCAGGAAAGCAAATCCACTCCTTCAGCACGTCTTGCGGGAGCATGTCCCGCAAGTTGACAGCGACCAGTAAATCCTCCAGACAGGTTTCAGAGCTTCTCTGCAAGAAACCTTTGAGGACAGCGTGAAGGTCCTCCCTGAGACTTGAGATAGAAACTAAGCAATTTTGTTATTGCAAAGCATGCGGCTGTCCTATGCGTACGGGAACTGGATTGGCTGTGCAGCCGGATGACCCGCTCAGGGCAAAGGCATTCATGGCGACATAGAAAAAGTCAAGTGATCATAGTCAGGGCTAAGGCGGCTAATAGTTTCTTGTTACTAGTAGCGTGGCACTTGTTACTAGTAGCGATGCACTTGTTACTACTAGCGTCCTTGTTACTACTAGTAAGGCACTTGTTACTACTAGCGTGGCACTTGTTACTAGTAGCAACAAAAAAGCAAAAAAGTCACCGAATCGTGCAAAAAAATCAACTGTTGATCCCCAAGTCCCTAAGTGATCTCCAGTTTCTAGAGTCTAAAGCCTAAACGAGCAAAGCTTCCCACATCATAGCAATTGGTGGCGGATTCTGAATGCAGAACAGCCTACAGCTAGGCTTCTGCCGGCTCTTTTTGACCAAACTATGCAAGCGCTGCGACGGCAACAGCACTGGATCGTCTGGCATATCAACTGAGTCCCAATTTTCTTGCTTCAAGAAATGCTGCGAACTGCTACCTAACAAGAGGGTGCTAGGAGTATTCCAGCGCAAGAAACGGACACTTTCTCAGAAACGTTGCCCTGTTGGGTGGGAGCCTATCTGACAAACCTCGAAACACTGGAGCTCGCGCAATGCTCGTGCACCTCTCTTGCATAGGAGGCAGGGTGAGCCAGGCCCCAGAAGCGGGATCAAAACACTCCGCACTCCTAGAGAAAAAGGAGATGTCAATACAAAGATTCAAGAGCAAAACAATTGCAATGAAAGAGAACCGGAACTCGATCCTGAGATCAGAATCACCATTGAAGCCCCCACAGACCTCAGTTGTCTCAGCTCATCCCGAGTTCTTTTGCAGGCTCCTGTGCTCTGCTCATATCACACACATCCAAACACATCGGATTTGCTTTTGTGCCTGTCATGATCAAACATGAAAGGTAGCCTTCCCTCCTTCAAGAGATCTCCAATGCCATCAGCCATGGAGCATAAAGCCGATCTGCGATGGTGGCCACGGCCGCGCGGTCACGGCGTTCGTTCATGGGCGGAAGTGCTTCCCAGACCCCACTGCTCGGGTTGAAACGCTCAGCGGACGCAAGGCGCCTCGGACGAGAGACATCCAACAAGAAAGGAAAAAAGGGAACAAATGTGTCCAACATTCAATGTTCATTCGTTCCTTTTCTTCTGTGTCTGGTGTTTTCTTGCTGTCCGGACTTCTTTTCGTTTGTGGACCTTCAGACCCTGTCTGGGAAAAGGGAAAACAGTGAATCAGCACTTTAAAGCCATTATTAGTTACGACTCACAGTCGCACCTGAGGCTGAGACTGGCGTCCGTCCCAACCACCGCAAACATAAAAGCAACCAGCTACAGCGGCAGCCTAAAAAAATGGCGTCCGTTTTGAGACTCTGTGAGAACTAATGGCATGCCAGAACACCACAGTGACAGTGGCTCAACCAAATGAAAATCTCAAGAGTTTTCGGCTCTGTTTTTAAGGATCGTACCGCTGCACCCACACGCCTGGAGAGCATGGGAGGCAACGCCTGCAACAGAGGAGTCAGGCGGACGTATGCTCACGCAAAACAGAGGCTGCCAGTTGTTGAATCGTTGAATATGCAATCGCATCACGATTCAAACCGGTTTTCAAACCTTGTTGAAAGCCATGCCAAGCAAAACTGTAGCGCAACGGCGTTCCAATGGTCAAGGGCGAAGGGTCAGAAAAGCAACCCTTTCATCTGCAGCTGAGAGTACGTACACAGCTCCGACGGAAAAAAAAATAGAAAAATAACTGTGGAACGTGAGACAAATCCACAGCTGCAACGGACCAATTGCCTCCCAGGCATCCACTTTGGGATCAAAGCCTTGGTGGTGGCCAAAAAAATCGTAGTTTAAAAACATTGCCAAAAAGCTCCAATGAGCTAATGCGTTATAATGACTGTTCATGACTTTTCATGACTTTTCTCTCTTAAGCACAGTTCTATAGACATGATTCTAGGCCGCTAGTAGGTTGGAGGCCATCGCTATTAGGTTGGAGGCCATACCTATCAGGCATCCCTATTACGTTGGAGGCCAACAGTATAGGAGGCCATCGCTATTAGGTTGGAGGCCATCGCTACTAGGTTGGAGACCATCGCTACTAGGTTAGAGGCCATCGCTATTAGGTTGGAGGCCTTCGCTATTTAGGTTGGAGGCCACTACTAGCTCGGAGAACATCGCTTCTAGGTTGGAGGTCATCGCTATTAGGTTGGAGGCCATCGCTACTAGGTTGGAGGCCATCACTACTAGGTTGGAGGCCATCGCTGGTAGGTTGGAGGTCATCGCTAGTGGGTTGGAGGCCAGCGCTAGTGGGTTGGAGGCCATCGCTAGGGGGTTGGAGGCCATCGCTATTAGGTTGGAGGCCATCGCTAGTAGGTTTAGGTTGGAGGTCATCGCTAGTAGGTTGGAGGCCATCGCTAGTGGGTTGGAGGCCATCGCTAGT